ATTTCGTTCAACCGCATCCGATACAAATTTCTTCTCTCTCTCTCTCTCTCTATCTCTCTCTTCATCATGAAACGAAATTCGAAATCGATATATCGAAGAAACTCGCTATTCCGTCCCTATTACGCGGATATAAATATAATCCGTAACGTACGTACGATAGGTCGAGCACGTGAGACCTTGCGCTCTATTCAAAGGGGAATCTTCTCGGCTGTACGCGCGCAAATGGCTTTCGAGAGACGAACGTTCTTTTTCAAATCTATCGCGTTAATTTGATCGATAAATCTCGATATTCGACGATGTATACAAACATAACTATTCTTCGTCTCGAGTTTGCGAGGCGATACATCGGGTAGGAAGATTGGAAGACGGGAAGGGAGAAATCGTACATAACCTCGTTTTTTTGCTCGGATGGTAATCCGGCGTAGAGACAATCGGCCTAGTTGTCGTCGCGTGGGACACGCGTTGTCCGACGCGTAATCGGCGAGAGGGGAGGGGGGAGGCATCGAAGCCGTGCACTCTCGATACACATGTAAGCGCGCGTGTCGTAGGCAGCAGTGCGGCAGCATTAGCGGCCGCTTATTTCCCTTTACCTCGATCGATATTATCGACCGTTCGAACGAGCGGCAATCCGTGTCATGGAAACGCGTTTGCAAATTCCTTCATCCTTCTTGCTTCCTTCCTTCCTTCCTCCTTCCTCTTCAATTATTAATAGCCGTGCAATCGTTTCTGGAACATCGCCTCTACATCGCGCCATTTTCCGGCTTGGCCCGATCGATACCGAGATACCCTCCGTGTCCACCAAAATTTTTCCTTCTTCTCTTCCCGAATATCGAGCTTATCCGACTGGAAACAAAAGCTAAATATACGATATAAACCGTTTTCGAGGGAAACGGTTTACCTTGCGTGGATCGTACACCCTCGTCCCTTTTGCCATCCGACCGGAATTCGTTAACTAGATTTTTTCCTTCTTTTTCGCGAAAAGTTTCCGATATCCCATTTTCTTTCCTTCCGCGTTTTCTCCCCTTCAAAGACTATATCCGTGGATAAAGGGAGGGAGGGAAAAAATCGAAATCCCGAAGGGAGACGTCTCTCGTTATTCCTTATCTTCCGATTATATTTTATTTTCTTTCTGAAATCGATTAGAACGATTTTCGTTTCGAATTTCGAAAGGGATTTTAAAATTTGATATAGAATTTTTATAATTCTTCTGTCGGAAGATTTTAATTTCGTAAAGAAAACGAGAGAGAGAGAGAATAAATTTAATCCAATTCGTAAATTTTTTTTAGAGCGAGAAAAGATCGAAAAAAAAGATGATAATCACGTTACGCGATGATATTCTTAATCAATGATGAAAATCTATATCGTTTCGTCGTTTATCGAGCTTTACCATAATTAATTCAATCCCTGTCGGCTAACGGTGGTGTTAAATTTAGATAGAGCTACAGTCGTTTACGCGACTAGTCGAGTTACGGTCAATTATGCTAATATTATTGCACACATCAGCATAATTGCGTTAAACGAGATAAAGCCGTACGAAACGTTGAAAAATCGAAACAGAGCTCTCCGTTAATTCGCCTACATTCTCGATAATCGTTCTACGTATCGTTTTACATATCGATCGATACTTTTTCTTATCCTTTCCTTTTTCTTTCATCTATTTTCACGAAACGTGTCTCGTGAAAATTTCATTCTCACGTTCGAAGAATAAACACCACTTTAGAGATATTCCCAACCCAAGAAGAGAATACGGAAACGACGCTCGACCCAAAAAAAAGAAGTGGAAAGAATTGTGCCGATAGTTCTCTTGAAATTTTCCAATTCCTATCAACGCGTTCTTTTTTCTCCCTTCTCGATTTTAAACGACGATTTATAACGTCGTTCATTTTCATTGTTGTTTAACGCGACAAAAATATAATTTGAATTGAATCTAGTAATTTTCCCTAGATTTAGTTACTTCTCATATTATATTCCCTAGGTTAAAAGCTTCCATTACCATTCTCCCGCATATCTAGTGCGGGGAAGTGGTTTTCCCCGCAGCAGAAATAGCACTTTCTTCTTCTTCTTCTTCTTCTTCTTTTTCTTCTTCTTCTTCTCCGTCGAATGAAAAAAGCGCGCATAAAGGGGGAAGGTGGGGGAAGGTGGGCCGCCGGTAAACGCGCGTCGCGCCACGTCTAATTCCTTCTACGATGCAACAATCCTGCGCGAGATATCCGCGTATTTCGTTCGTATTTCGTATACACGCGGCGATCTCGTATATCGGTCGTGGCACGAGTGGTGAGTGGTGCGAGTAACGTACGGTGAAGTGCGCGAAACATCTATATATACATCTGTACACCGTTCGAGACGAGAATACGTCGGTTGGTCGAAAATTAATCTTTCAACGGAACAACGAAACGAGGCTTTCCTACCGTGTGTATCGCGGATAAGTGGCGGCGCGTGCCATCTCCTTGGCGACTGAAAATTTCGAGGCTCGGCCGGTACACAGTGTGGTGTCGAAATTTCGCGAATAATTCTCGATTTTTTTCTGAAATTTAAAACGCGTTATTCCATTTCCACGAAAATCGATTAACGTAATGCGTGTACTTGCCTAGTACTAATCTCGATCTATCCTGTTTATCCGGTGGAATTTAGCCGAGAGCATGGAAACGACGCGACGAAACGACTCGTATCCCGAGTTTTCGTGACTGTGGCTATTCAGTCGTACTAGTCGTTGGATGAAAGCGAAAGTCGACCGTTTACCAGTAGTCTCGCTTGGCTTTATCAAGAAAAAAAAAGAAAGAAAGAAAGAAAACAGAAACGGAAATTTCAACAGAAATATATATCCTGGATTTAACTTGGCTTAGAAAGTGAAGTCGGAACGGTTTCAAGCCGACCGGAAAACATCCTGTTTTTACTTTCGACGAAGATGCATTCTCTTCGTCTTACTTTTCCTTTCTTTTCCTTTTTTTTTTTTTCATCATCATCAACGACGAGAAAATTCATTGATTTTTAGCATCTTTATCGTGGAAATTACCGCGTTAAAGATTTCAGCCTTGAACATTTTCCGTTCCTGTTTCCGGTAATAGTGGTTAATCGCGAAATATACAAAACGACACACGATCGTAGAGATGAGGGACACGATAGAAAAAAAAGACTCGTATATTATAAATTATTCCCTTTGTGTACGATTACTTTATTTGGAACGGATTTCTTATACCATCTGTGACCATCGTTATCCGTGTCGATCGATTTCGAATGCATCGAATATCAAGGTAAAAACTCGCCTATTTTCAATCGTTTCCCGAAAGATTAATTGTCTCGTTATCGAGTTGCCGCCATATTTTCATAAGAATATATAGAGACAGGTCTAGTAGCGGAAAAATGTTGTCCAGTGAATAAAAGAGAAAGGTGTGGAAATATGTAGAAATTTGTTCGACGAGGTCCATCTAAATGTCGAAAGCGTAATCAATCGAGATTGTAACGCATCCATAAAATTCCTCTTCGATTTATGAACCGTGAAAGAAAGCGTCGTTCCCTGAATATGGACACGTTGGAACGCTATAATAAAGTAACGAAATTTGGCGAATCGATTATGGTCATTCTGATTAATTTTGGAAGTAATAAACTCTAGAAACGAAAATCTGGATATAAAAAGTATCGTACGTTACGTAAATTTAAATCTTACAAAGTTAAATCGAGTCGAGTCATGGGTTGTTGTCCAATTAATGATTGAAACGAAGATGCCAAATTTCTTTTTTGTTAATTCATCTCGTAAAATCCATCAACCGATTTTTATCTTTTTCAAAATCTTGACAGTAATCTTGACATTGACGAGTCTGTTTTCTTTCAGTGACCGGTGACTACTTACTTAACTTCCCTTTGCACACGTGTACACGTCCTCAAGTTTGAAATATTATACACGCTTATACACTCGATTAACGAGTAACGGTTTCGATGATTTTTCGTTTTAAAAACAATTAAAATGTAACGAGAGTTTTAAAGGTTTTTTTATATCACGATTGATACACAGTTATACGAAATATTTAACGGGCGATGTTTTAATAATAGCTGAATCTCTCAATAATTGAATTTCTCAGATCGCAAAGATAGAATGAAATGGAAGTTACCGCAATGCGGAGAATCCGTAACTGTTTTCGTCGTTCACAGTATGTGAACATCTATCCTCGTGCGAACAAATTTCCTTCGATTCTTTCATTTAAGAATTTTATTATGCTTGCTTACACGCTTCGTTTACCGTTTGTTCGAAAATTAAAAATACCGTATTTCAGAATAAATAAAATATTCTCCGATTAAATATCTTCATTTATGTATTATGAATAATATGTTCTTACGAGATAATTATTAATAATTGATTAATCGTGTTATCGTTGTAAAAGATTCTCGTTTATATTCCACGAATATAAAATAATCGTTTATATCAAATTAAATTAGATAAAAAAAGATCGTATATTTTTCGAGACGCACAAGAATAATCGCGAAAGAAGGATTGGGATCGATTGTCGGTTAAAGATAATCTCGATGGCGCGTTTACTTTCAATAACAATGATATTTTTACGTTTCCATACGTAGCTAATTTCACAGATGACTCACGACCCGCAAGGTTCATTGACGTGGACCATCTCGAATTGGAAAGTTATTTTTATAAATCGAAGTTTGTTTCGGGTCCGATATATATTTTCCATTCCACGTTTTATTAATTCCGAGATAAATCATTTCGAGATTTCCGAAATAACATTTCGTTCCATTTCTTTATCAAACGATATTTCACATAGATTTGTCGTTGAATGATTTTGAAAACAAGCAAATTTCATCGATCCATCTATTCTTAACGAGTGATTGGAACGAATTTAATGTTAAAAAATTTGGGACGAACGTTGAACGAAGCGAAAGACAAAAGATCAAAAGAAAGAAGGGAAGAATCGCGGTTGAGAATATGTAGCAATGGTTCGCGACCGCTTATTAATAAATGCGAATACGGCCGATCAAATGTTTGGGAAACTTGGTTACGAGAACGATAAACGAGGAAAGTTGCGGGTACTCGGTGCAAGTTCTAGAGACTGCGTATAAAGGCGTGCCAATATAAACCGCAAGCTTCATTTGTTGCTCGAACGTTTGCGGCTGGCTGGCTGGTTGGCTGGCTGGCTGGCAGGCAAGCAAGCAAGCTAACACCGACCAGTTCACTCGCAGTATTTTCGTTGCCACCGACCGGTGTTGTGTGCCGCACCGAACAATCCGGAAAGGTCACCACCTACTTACCGCTCTCGTATTATAACTCTCTTTATTTACCGTCTATATCGTTTTCTTTTTTTTACGCGTCAATAACCGTTGATAGGAGAAAAAAAATTCCATTCAACTCGGTTCACCTTGATTCCCTTTTTCCGCGATTTCGACGTCGCGAAAAAAAAGAAAAAAGAAAAAAAGAAAATTTAATTATATCATCGGATCCAAATGATGCGATAATGCACAAAGTTCCATCGATTATGTTGTAGATCACGATTCGAATGAATTGGTCGACGCGTTACCCTGTCGACGGAGAGATGCAAGTATGTTTCGTCTGCAAGTTCTTGAGAGAAGTGGCCCCGCAATAACGGTATCGTTTCGTTCGAATTTATTATTTTCGTATTATTTTCATACATATATATATATATTATATGAAATTTATCGTACACAAATTTTATTCTTCCTGATTTTTTTTCAATATAAAGAAAAAAGATTTTTCGTAGAAAAGATTAAAAAAGTATATATATCGATATGTTTTTGAATAGAGTAATAAATGGATTCGTATGTTTCTTCCTCTTTCTAGTCATTAACATTACGTGCATGCGTATATTTTTTTGTAGTGAGTGTGGTGTGGAATGAAAGAAAAAGAATGCAGCACGGTAGAGGAGGCTAGATGAGCACCAATTTTCAGAGAGGTGCATCGTACGCGAAACGTCCAGCGATTGTAGGAAAAAAACAAGACGGCGCGTCTCTGAAAGGAAAGAAAAGCGATAAACACGTGTGCGAAAGAATACGCGGTCCATACCTGGTCCGCCATTTTGGCGGCATGGTCCTTTGGGCCACTATACTATTCCTACAAGGAGCTGGTTTCGTAGGTAAGTTTTTTATTTTATTTTACTCGACACCTTGTTATATTTTATTCCTATATTTATCACGTAATTGACGTTTCATAGATTGAATTTCCTCGTTGCTTTCTCTATTTTCTCTCTTTTTCTCTCTTTATTATTATTAACCAGCAACGAGAAAAAATTCGTTTCGTTCGGAATATAATCGTCGATAAATTGCTCGATCGATAAAAATTTACGATTTACGATTCTCGCGTTACAGTGCGACGTAAATTCATCGGCGTGCATATCTTATAACTAGACTGCGGATTTTTACGTAGCTATGTCACTGTTGCTATGTAACACGCGCTAAACATATGCTGAATCGTATAATACTTTATCGCGACAATAAACCATTACGCTCGGGCAAAGTCACGAATGAAAGTTGGAAACTTTTCGTGCGAAAAGCGTGATTATCAAAGAAAAGGAAAAATTTTATCGCGAAATTTTCGTTTTATGCCTGATGTATCTCGATCGAGATGCAAGGATTCGAAATATTCGAAATAACGTTTAAAACGTTATTGCTCAGAGATTGCGAACAAGGCCCGAGTCTCGAGCTTTGAGGATAAGTCGACGAGACGCGAAGATAATAAACGATTAAAAATTATCCTTTTCTTTACGCGACGATATCTCGGAAACCAAAAGTCGTATCGGGATAAATGAAAAAGCGTTTTAAAGGGCAAGGTTCCGCGCTTCTAACGATCCCTCGTTCGTCAGCCAAAAGTCATTATCTTCGAAGTTATAACGATTTTAAAATTTTCCTAACTTTATACAGGATTTAATCTGATTTTAAGGTAAATTCCTCTACTCTCCTCGATCGATAAGTCAATTTCGATCGATCGGTTCGGATTATTCGGAATTGAATTAATTATTAAATTGGATTAATTTTTGAAACTAGTTACTAGACGAGAATAATCGCATGGTATAAAAAACGATGTACTTAATCGGAAAAATCCGCACTCTATTTGTAACGTTTGCGTAAACCTTGTAAACTTCTTTCGATGTGGGTGAAAAAATATTATAGAGCGAGGATCGGGGTCAAGATGGCCGGTTTACGACACCGCTGCGACCGATTCAACGGTGAGAAAATATATACGTGTTCGACAAAGAGATTGGTCTACTGGCCAGTGTTACGTCGATATTATCACACGTGCATCCCAGTTTTTATCCGATTTTACCGATTGGGATCTCTCTATCGCTGTTTTCTCAATATTCTCTAACTTTTTTAACTCTTCAACGAAATTAATCAACTGGATTTGTTTATCGTATCTAGCTTCTTACTTTAATCCTTAATTTTTTTTACTCACAAATACGCGTTTCCTTTGTGCAGGCTCGGTAACAGGTATTCCTGGTGTTCCGGAAAATATAACGGTGATGTTCCTGAATCCAACCTCCGTGCGCGTATCTTGGAGCACCAGTCAGGTCGAACAAGTTGAAAAATACGACGTCACGTACAAGCCAACGGATGCCAGGTGCGTTCTGGAGATTTCGATGTTCCACTTTTAACTTTTTTTCCTTTCTTTCTTTTCTTTCCACGTACGTATCTAACAAAATCATCCATCCACTTAAATCGACACATAGTACATCCATCATATAGTTTGAATTCGCAAGTAAGAAAATGTAACGGGTTTATAAAATTGTACTTTCGAATCATCTTTGTTCAAACTTTTTATACCGCTTATTACCGTTAATTCATAACTTATAGCTAGTTGAGAAAGAATTGTTGACAAACTGTTGTCGCCACTTTTCTTATTATCCCATTAATTCGCATCATCGTATTTTTTTTATCGTATCGACGTTTTCCTATTAAATCCAAACACGATTATATATATATATATATATATATATATATATATATATATATATCCATGTATATAATCCATCGTTAAAGAAATCGCGTATGATAGAAAATAGAAAATTATTTCACGGTCTATTCTACTCTATCGTATTCCAGACCAAGATCGCACGTCCAAGACGCACGTTCTGGTTACGATCCCTGGAAATTATCTGGAAATGCAATCACGCTCCGCCACCCTCGTTTATTTTACGTTTTAGATACGCCTATTATTCATTTCACAGCGGCGCTATAATTCTAAACGTTTCGACGTTTCCACGACATCGCATCCATCGATTACCGTGAGAAAAAGAAGCTCGCACACAAATATAGTGCAGTAATATAGTAATTTTTTTTTATAATTCCAGTTGGTACGGAGTATTGTCGCGGAATTTTTTTTTTTTTTTTTTTTACACGCGTAGCGCGATGAAAAATGATTTCACAATGTATCTCGCAATATCTCAAAGACGAATTCATTTATCAATTGGTATCAGTCTTTCGATGTGAAATTGTTTGGAAAAGGACTCGATATTAATTGATGCTTTTACTTCTACTGCGGCACAGGAAATACAACGACAGGTACATACCTCTTTTAAGGTGTTCCTCGAGAATTGCGAGCATTGAAACGTAACGTCTTTTTTTTTTTTTTCTTCTGCCAATTTATTCGACTACAATATAACAATATTTTCGTTATTTCGCGGTTTATATCCTATCCTGGTCGAAAATACACTTGGAATATAATATTTTGTTACGAGTTCAAAAAAGATATATTATTAAAAATTAATTCGCCACTACAATAAAAATGTACGTTATGAAAGTATGGAAAAAAACAGAGTGGAGAAAATATTGCGTTAAAAGAAATTTAAAACCGTGGTCTGTCTCTCTCGAGAGAGGGAGAAAAAAGAGGGAGACCGAGCACGTTATCTTATACGTTTTAAGAAGCTTCGAAAAAACTTACGAAAAAGAAGTTTGCTCGTTATCTTTAATGATCTTAAGAAAAACATCTCCCCATAGATTCAATTCGCTTCGTGTACATTTTTCGTTAAAGGTAACTCGTGTCGAGAAAGTTTAACCGTTCGAAAATATATTTTTCCTAACTTTTTAAGATTTCAAAAATTAACGGTATAAATTTATTTACAAAGGAAAGGCGTCGAATGACTGGAGCGTAATAAAGTATTCGTAACGCGGCTCGAAAATCGCATTACGGTAAACAATAATTATCGAATTAACAAGAATTGATTAACTCATCGTAGAAAATTTTATCGAGAGAACGATCGAACGAATGAGAAAAAAAAAAAGGATGGATAATTTCTTATCCTCTTCTCCATCCACGATAATTAAATTTTTAAATTAATACATAAAAATCGGAAATGAGAAAAAGACAGAAATCTCTCGGGACGAGAAAACCTTGGATGAAACGTTGTACGATCGCTACGACAATTTGCTCGCAATTCTTTGGAGGGGGAAGGGGGGGGGGGACGTAGTTAATTAAAAAAAGAAAAGAAAATCGATACGCGTTTTAGAAGATATGGCGATACGATAGGATAGACGAAAAGAAAAAAAAAGTAGAAGAAGATAGATGCAGGAACGAAAACACAACAGCAAGGTGGTTAGTTACAGGGTGGTGGCGGTGGTCGCGGGAAATAGCGAGGCGGTCACGTTGAGCGGTCTGAGGGCCGACACGCAATACCAACTCGTCGTCACTGCCGTCAGAGGTGGGAAAAAATTTCGAAGTCGGCCGATCGTCTTCCGCACGCTTGGTAAGTTTTCGATCACTCTCGTTTTCTTCACTCTCGTTTCGCCGCTTCTCCTTCCATATATATCTATCTATCGAGCGTTAACCCTCGATTGTTTAGAGCCGCCGCGAACATCCCCGCAACAGGATGCAGCGGTGACCGGTGGCCCTCTTCCACCCCCTCCACCTTCTTCTCAGCAGCCGCAAGCTTACATACAGGTAGAGGAGTGCCTCGAAGGATCTCTTCCTCGCTCTTTGGAATACGTTCGGGCGAACGAATTCTCTTTCTTTTTTTTTTTTTTTTCTTTTTCTTTTTCCCTTTTTTCTTTTCGTTTTCTTCTAGGTCCGTGGCGTGGAAGTGGGCATAGTCGTGTTGGTGTTGATCTTTTGGGCGGGCGCGATAGCGTTGTTCTTCAATCGTTGGGGCAAGATACGTATGTTGTTGCCGTATCAGCCCGATTACAAGGAACAATTGAAAGTTCCCGGGACCGGGGTGTGCGCAGCGGCGAACGCCGCTTACACGCAACATCCCACTCAACACACCTGTTCTCAGGTAACGCATAATTGTACCCTTTCGCCTTTCCCCTCCATTTTTTATCTCTTTATCGCCTTTCGTTTTATCGTTCCGATTATGATAACGATAATAATGATAATAATAATAATAATAATAATTTTCTATACGATGTTCGCGACTCGATGTATCGTAAAATAGTCGCGAGATTACTTTTCCAGGAGAAGAAAAACAGCCGATCGATTGTTTCTTTCCGATTGTTTTTTTCCGCGTGAAAAAAGCAACTGTCACGAATTTCTGGCTTTATTATTCGATCAAATTATTCGAAGAGAAGTGAAAGTGATATCATCTGGAATTTTCGAAAATTTAAATAAATGTGGATAAAAGTTAGAGAAGAGAGGGAAAAAATCGTTGAATTATAATGGAACACGGGATTACAAATTTATAGATATTTCTGCCGTGTTTTTAAATTATCGAAGGGAGGGGGGAGGGGGGCATACGCGTGATTTCCACGAAACGAAATATATAGAAAAAAAAAATTATACTAAATTTACGGGTTGTACGAGTTGTATCATCGTTTGACATTTCATGAAAGTTAAATTAATAATAAACGTCACGCGAGGTATTCTCCCGAGCCTGATGCGATGCAGCCTACGTACGACGCAACGTTATTACGATTTCACACCGGCCAACTTTGCGCGATTCGATTTACTCGTAATCCTTCGATCGAAATCGCGCGATCCATTTTTTTTTTTTTTT